GGGTGGGTCACCTGTCACCACCAGGTCCTGCTAGGAGTGGGTCGGTCACCTGTCACCACCAGGTCCTGCTAGGAGCGGGTGGGTCACCTGTCACCACCAGGTCCTGCTAGGAGTGGGTCGGTCACCTGTCACCACCAGGTCCTGCTAGGAGCGGGTGGGTCACCTGTCACCACCAGGTCCTGCTAGGAGTGGGTCGGTCACCTGTCACCACCAGGTCCTGCTAGGAGTGGGTGGGTCACCTGTCACCACCAGGTCCTGCTAGGAGTGGGTGGGTTACCTGTCACCACCAAGTCCAGGGAGCTGCTGGGCTCGGACCAGTGCTCCCCTCTGCGGTAGAAGCAGTGGTATTGCCCTGCTGTGCTGGAGGTCATGGTGGGGATGAGGAACTTGACTTTGTCCACGAGTCCAGGTGGTCTTGGTCTCTTCAGGGCAGCAACCCCTCCCTCAAAATGCAGCCGGTATTCCTCAGCCTCCCGGGTGCCCCAGCACCACAGGGTCACCGACTGTCCCTTTGGAACCATGAAGCTGGGCCTGGCCTGGATGACGGGTCTCGGGAGGACCTCTGGAAGGGAAGCGAGGCTGTGGTGCAGGGGAGCCTCCGGCCTGCCCCCGCTGCCGCCCACCTGCTGGCCCAAGCCCCCCCAGCACCGCGGAGCCTGCCTGCCCCGTGTTCTAGGTGGACGGCTGAACCCTGGGCGACTCTGGGCCTTAGGGGAGGACTCACCACTCTGGATGCTGGTCCTCAGGCTCAGGTGCAGCCCTGGAACGCAGGCAGTATGAGGACAGTGCCCACCACACCTGGCCCGGGGCCCTTCCACCAGAGACTCACCGAGGCACAGCAGGGCCACCGGTGTGGGTGGCATGGCACGATTCTGCAGGCCGATGCGGGGCAGCCAGACGGGGACTGGGCAGCCGGATGGGGACTGAGCCGGCAGTCCAGGGACAGGCACAGGATGTGGTAGGTGTGGCCGGCGCCCGTGCCCCGGGACTTCTACACCGAGGTTTTACCAGATGTTCACAGCTCTTCCTCCCCCTCTGGGCCTGGGCCTGGTTTTCTTTTTCTCTATTTTCTTCCCCACAGTGTCTAGACAATTTTGAAAGTGAGGTGTTCTGCCCTTGGGTTCCACCCCACGTGTGCTGGGAGACCCCCCTTTCTCCAGCCTGTGCCCTTTGTCTAATTTACCACCCTCTTCCTTACAGGGGAATGCTCACGGGGCGCTCCACTCCAGCAGCTCCGGTCAGTGCACGTGGTCACGGACCACGGTCCAGTCAAACGCAGAACGGCTCCAACCCAGACCATGGGAAAGTCCGTGCAGCGGTTTTGGGTGAGTGACAGGCACATGAGGGTGCTGCCTAGATGTAGCCACCTCTGGGGTGTCGGGGATGGGTCAGGGAGTTTCACACCCCGCCCAAGCTCAGGGTGGCCTGGGTGCTCTCTGTGGGCAGAGGGAGGGAGCTTCCCCAGACCCAGACGTGGTGCTGCTGGGTCCCCAGGGGTTCCCGCGCTGGCCAGCCTGGGAGAAGGGAAGGCAGGTTCCCCTGTTCCCCTCCTGAGTGTCCCATGGCCTGTGGGGACAACAGCCTGTGTCTCTGCTGTTTAAGGAGCCTTTTGTCCCCACGAGGGCAACTCGAGACTGGCTCTGTCTTCTTTGGGCCCACGCTGTGTTAACTCACACCGTGAGCAGCGTGCAGCTGGGCGTGCAGGCTTGAGGTGCTGGGTCTCCTGCCACCATCGCCCTTGGGCCACGGCAATGACCAGCACAGGGGACAGGACCCTCCCCAGGTGGAAGGGGTGTCTGCCCTGGCCCACCAGGTCCTGAAGAGGCGGCGTGCTCAGCCTGGGTCACCCCCGTAGGGTTGGCTTCTGGAAGGTGGAGCAGGAAGCCAGGCAGGGCTCACGTTCAAGGACCAGGCGGAGTCCATCTGTGGGTGTGAAGGGCCCTGGGGGACAGGAGCAGAGTGTGCGTCCAGGATATGGGATCTTGTGCGACCTGGCAGGGCTTCTCTCCCTCTGCTCCAGTGACATCGGGGTGGACGGTCCCTGGGCCGCCCTGTGGTTGGGTGGCTAGCGGCACCTGGGCTCCGCCCTGCTGCCCGGCGCCCGACGCACCCGGCTCTGTGTGTGGTGAGGGTCCCGTCCTCCCTGATTCCCAGCGCGGCCGGGGCCTCTGCGGCTGTGGCTGAACCTATGGGGTCTGGGGTCCTACACTGCGTACGAGTGGTCTTCCTCTTCTCGTGTCTTGGTTTTGTTATTGTCACATGACACACAACCGTGGGACTCGCTGTGCTCTTCACACACGTAACTGAACTGGCTGCATCTCATGCCCCGGATCTCGCCTGCCCCCTGGTCCCCTGCCCCGTGGTCCCCTGCCCTTCCTCTACTGCTCTCCCTTCTGTTTTCCTGAGGCCCCCTCCCCGCATTTTTCTCTCCAGCTCCCACACACGAGAGAAAACCCAGGACCCTCGACCTCCTTTCTGAGCCTGGCTCAGTTCACTTAGCGTACGTTTCTGGTGGGTTTTGGGGTCTTCTAGACACAGGATCCTGTCGTCAGCCAGCAGGTAGTTTGGCCTCTTCCTTTTGTGTTTGGGTCCCTTTGAGTCCCTCCTTGGGCCCTCGGGCTGGCCTTTCAAGGCCTGGGTTGGGTCGGAGTGGAGGAGTGGGCGCCCCGTGGATCCCTGATTCAGGGAGAAGCTTCCGTTTTTCCCTGTTCACAGGTGGGTTTTGCACCAGCCCTGCTAGCTCCAGGGTCCCCTCTCGTGAAGGAAGCCCTTCCCGAGGCGCAGCCTCCCTCCGAGCTTCTCCTCCACAGCAGCGGCTCCTGTTTAAGGTGCTGAAACCACGTCCCCAGGCCCTTAGAGATGACAGGTGGCCGCCCACTGACAGGCACCTGTGTTATCAGTTTCATCAGAAAGGTTTTACGCTCAGCTTTCAGTTCTAGGGTGATTTTTGTCCCTTGAGAGCAGACAGTTATTCACTCTAACTCTGCGTCCCATCCGGGCACGGAGCGTCTGCCCAGGCCAGCGTCACGGTCAGCGAGCTTCAGCCGCTGTGGGCACCTCGTCTCTCAGAGGGCGGATGGAGATGCGAGGTCAGCACCCAGGGACGCAGGTTGCCCCTGGCGTCCTCAGGGCAGTGTCCTCTCGGGTTCATTACTAGGATACCCTGCCGCCCTGGCCTCCTCGGGTCCTGCCTGGAGGTGTCTAGGATGGATCCTGCAGACGTCCTCGGACCCCAAGGTCCTCTGGTTACACAGACCCGTCCTTCCCGACGCCTGACCCTGATGCGTGATGGCCCCGGACGCGGTCTTCTCCCCATCTCCCCGTAGCTCACAGCAAACCCACCCGACGCTCGTCTTCCTGAAGGTCACTCTGATCTCCTTTCCACCTGAGCTCTGGTGTCACCTTGGGGACATGGCTCCCCAGGTGGCTGCTGTCCCTCCATCTCCCTTCCTCCTGACAGCGATTTGGGGGTGTGGGGGTGGATTCCCCCAGTTCAGAGCCCCGACCCTCTATTCTGATCAAGACCCTGCCCAGGGCAGCTTCAGAGAGCGGCGCAGCCTGCTCCTCCCTGCTTGACACAAACAGACACAGAGCGTTTTACCAGATACGTTTATGTTCACTCTTTTCCCTTTTTTTTTAATGGAGATGATACAAAAAGCCTATTCCGTAGTCGGACGCAGGAGGAGGAAAGAACAACCACTGTTGCATTCCTCCACGCTCCTCATCTGGGACCCCTTCCGTCTGGCCAGGGGTGCCCAGGTTTGTCCTCACTGGTCCCCTCCCCTGTGGTCACAGCCGGGAGCCCCCTGTGCACCCAGAGTCCTGCCAGCTCTCGTCAGGCCGACTCTTCCCCCCTCCTCTGGAGCTCCCCAGTGCTGACCTGGTGCTGGAGGACCCTCGTGGTGGGCGGCGGGGGGAGCTGGCTCCAGCACCGGGCAGAGACCTGGGCAGAGCTGCCTCGGGGCGGCTTGTGCTCACCAGACCTGAAAGACGCCTCCTGCCGTCCAGCCCAGCTCTGAGCAGCTTCCAGTGGTGACCTTGAGTCCTCATGGTGACCCAGAGAGGTTGGCCACATTATTCTGAACTTCGCAAATAAGGGAACTGAGGCACTAAAAGGTGAGCCCATGCGGAGGTGTACCCGGCTACTGAGAGGCGTCTGGGGACCTCGGGATCCAGACGGTGCCTGCAGATGGGGCAGGAGGTGTACCCGGCTACTGAGAGGCGTCTGGGGACCTGGGATCCAGACGGTGCCTGCAGATGGGGCAGGAGGTGTACCCGGCTACTGAGAGGCATCTGGGGACCTGGGATCCAGACGGTGCCTGTAGATGGGGCACATGGGAGGTGTACCCGGCTACTGAGAGGTGTCTGGGGACCTGGGATCCAGACGGTGCCTGCAGATGGGAAGCATCTTCCCAGGACGCCGGGTGCTGAGGTGGAATGAACCCTCCCCTCCCCTCTGAGCTCCTCTCTGGGTCTTGCTGGGTCTCTGTATCTACTTAGTTCAGCTCCAGTTCTACCTCAGAGCACACCTGTACCCTAGGGAGGTCCAGAAGCAGGCTGCAAGGGACGGATTTCACGTCCTGAGTGACCACTTCAATCACAACTGACACAGGAGGTGGCTTTGGTGATTTCATTTTTTTTTTCTGTTCATTTCTGCCATTTATTTTTTCTAGTGCATTATGACCACACACAGTCGTGGGCTTCATCGTGACAGGTTTGTACGCACAGCATGATTTGGTCCATTTCATTAACCATGTCCCCTGTCCTTTCTACCCTGCTGCTGTGGTTTAGATGTGAGGTGTCCCCCAGAAGTTCATGTGACAGACGAAGTGGGAAGGTTTAGAGGGGAATGATTGGGTGTGGGAGCCTCGACCTAATCAGGGCATTAACTGACTGTGGGTGGGTGGGGAGTGGCTGGAGGAGGGGCCGCGGGGGCAGCTGGGGTTGACATTCTGTCCTTGATGACCAGAGCTCTGTCTCTGCTTGCTGACTGTCATGTCCTGAGCGATTTTCCTCCAGCAAAAAAGCCGACTAAAATAACTGCTCTCCCTTCTGTTTTAGTGAGCTCCCCTCTCTCCCTTTTTAAAACTTTCTCTGACTTCCACATATGAGAGAAAACGCAGGACCCTTGACCTTCTTTTGACTTAACACGATGGTCTCTAGTTCCATCCATTATCCTGCAGATTTCCACAGTTTTGTTCTGGATGGGTGAATACAGCTCCGTGTGTGTAGACCGCATCCTCTTTATCCGGACACCTAGGCTGGCTCCGAGTCTGGTGGCTGTGAGCTGTGAACACGGCGTGTGTGACTCGCTGTAGTTAGACGGCGTCCCGTCCTCAGGGTAGATACCGAGCAGTGGTCCAGCTGTCGCATGGGGGCTCTGCGCCCCGTCCTTTGGGCGCCTCAGCTGATGTCCATAGTGACTGCACTAATTTTCAGCCCCACCAACCGTGTGACAGGGTCCCTTTCCCTACCTTGGTCACTCGCATTTTATTTTGTTTAATTTTTCAGGACTCGGGATTGAACCCAGGGCTGCTCTGCCCTGAGCTGCATCCCCAGCCTTTTAGAAAATTTGATTTTGAGACAGGGTCTCACTAAGTCGTGCAAGCTGGACTGGAACTTGGGATCCTCCTGCCTCAGCCTCCCAGTGGCTGGGATTACGGTGCCTGGCCTTGGTGTTTTTACAAATGTGACTTTAATGGGGAGGACATCCACCTGCATTGCACTCTGCCCGTCCACAGTGCGGAGCGTGATGGCTGCACCGTGTGTCCAGAGCCACAGAGCCGCAGCCACGTCTACGTTAGGGTGTTGCCGGCTGCAGTGGGTCCCCCATGTCAGAGCCCCAGGTAGCCACTGGTCTCCCTTTTTCTTGTAGACCACAATGTACTCTTAACAACTGTGAAATACGCAGAAATATACATAAGATTTGCCATATAGTCACTTAAAATTTCAGTTAAGTTTATTTTAAACAGGTACACTCAGGACACGAAGTTGTGTGCATTCTGGGGTGACGTGTCCGTGTGCGAGGTCCAGATCAGGTTAGGGAACTGTCTCCTCATGCGCTTGCCAATTCTTTATGGTAGAAACATTCGAAGCCTGTTCTTCCAGTTTCTGAGGTTCCAAGCTGACACTGAGTGTGGCCCAGGGGGGCTCGGAGTCCTTACCTGCTATGAGGCGGATGCCCGGGACTTTTTCCTCTTGCCAACTGAAGCTCTGTACCCCAACAGGGAGTGGTTTAACATGCACTGAAGGCCGGGCGTGGTGAATGCTTGACTATGGGAGCTCAATCGTTATCATCACTTTCCCGGTTTCTTTTGATGGACAGAAATGTTAAAACTTTAACATTGAGTGTGAATGTTACACATGGACCTGTGATCCCAGAGGCTCAGGAGGCCGAGGCAGGAGGATTGTGAGTTCAAGGCCAGCCTCAGCAACTGAGCAAGGCCCTGAACAACTTAGTGAGACCCTGTTTCAAAATAAAAAATGAAAAGGGCTTGGAATGTGGCTCAATCCTTAATCCTTAAATTTTGTGGCCAGAGCTCTTGTACCCTGGGCAATTTTCAAACACAAGATACATTGTTGTCAAGGGCAGCGAGATCCTGACGGCCAATAGTTCTCTGAAGCTTTTTCCTCCTGAGCCAGTGAAGTTGGTGTCCTGGATGGGCGCCCGGTGCCTGCACTAGACAGCCTCCCGGGTCGTGCACTGAGTGAGTTCACAGGGGAGCGGGAGCCACAAACTGTCTCTCAGTGCTTGGCTGGCCTGCCTGACGTCCTCCCCGGGCTCACCCATGCAGCAGGGAAGGACAGGATAGCCTCCCTGTTCATCGGCTCTGTCCCCGTGAGTGTGCCCCTGTCCTGCAGACGCATCCCTGGACAGACCCCTGGACGATTCCCTGCCGGGCTGCCCAGGAGTGCTGATGTCACAGCCTCTCTTTACCCTCTGTCCCCTCCCTGTTGCCTCTGTGCGGGGGATGGGAGCTGCCGCGGGCCGGGAGCAGGGTCCACACTCTGCTGCAGACAAGTCCCAGCACCCCCGTGAGCTCCGGAGAGACGCCATCCCTAAGGGGTGAGCTCGGGTCTCCAACAAGAAAGCGGGTGGTGTCCACGTCTGTGGAGCCACAGCAGTGGCCACGGGAAACACTGCATGGTGGACGACGGTCATCCAGATCTCGGCCTGTGTGACATTCGTGGCTGTGTTTGCGCAGGGAGCTGCCTTGTGATGGATGGTGCAGGTCGAGAGGCCCCAGTGGCTGTGGTGACGCCAGCCCTGGGGCCACGTGGAAGGTGCGTGGCTGTATCAGTTTCCACTGGGTCCGGCACCAGGATAGAGTTCTGAGCGCAGTGGGACGACCCTGCTGCCTCTCTGGCGCTGTGTCCTGCAGATTGTCACCGTGGCCGAGACGCCCCACAGTTCACCGTGGGATGAAGAACCTGCTCAATCGGCCTGCTTGGCCAGCGCCGGGTGGCCAGCCTGCCCAGGCCTGGGCGTGTGTCTGTTGGTCTTTTCTCCATCCCATGGGCCCCTTCTCTACTGCCTCCTTATTAGGACCGCGGCTGCCGAGAGCAGAGACGAGAGCCGTCCCACTGTGTGGTGGCCGACGGACCCAGAGTCCCACCACCCGAGCTTCAAGCAGGCCTGGCTGCAATGGGGGCGGAGTCCCCACCCGGGTCTTGTTGAGGTGACCCGGGGCCCAGCAGCCTCCCCTGACCCCCAGGAGTGGGGAGTCCTGGGGGCCCTGGGCCCAGCTGTCTCGATGGCTGGGACGGGGCTGAGACGCAGCCCCGGGGGCTGCAGAGGTGACAGCCTGCAGCGAGAGCCTGGGGAGGTCCCGGGGCAGGACCTGTAGGAGCTGAGGACATCCACGCCCGCGTGGGCCCTGGCCAAGGGCCAGCCGCCATCAGGAAGGAGCCGCGGGGCGCAGTCGGGCGGAGCTGGTGCTGGGGCAGGGAGCCTGACAGCGGCCCCTCAGCGAGTCTGCAAGTCTCTAAAACAGTCGGCCCCTTACCTGTCACCACCAGCTCCAGGGCTGGGCTCCCTCTGACCAGGGTACGTTGCCTGTACTGGCACTGGTGGCGCCCGGCAGAGCTCACGGCCACACGGGGAGGGGGACCTCGGCTCCCACGGGGTGCGGGGCGTTCCCCAGCTGGTACGGGAAGGACCCCGTGTTCCTCGGCAGCCGGGCCTCACGCTCCCGTTCCTGGCCACCGCGGAAAGTCCCCTGCAGAACCCAGAGCCCTGTCAGAGCCAGCCGTGGACGCCGCCTCCTCCCTTCCCTCCGGGGACACAGGTGGATGGAAGGGGGAGGACCTGACAACATTTCCTGTCTAAAATATTTTTTGGAGTATTTTTATACATAAAATATACATGAAATAAAAATTGCCACTTTAAACATTGATTCAAGGACATCAATGACATTCACCGCGCTGGGTGACCATCACACCATCTATTTATATAGCATTTCTTTCCTTTTTTTTTATTGGCATTTAAAATTTTTTTAATTTGTTTGATGTGGCCACAATTCAAATCACACGTATAGGGCACGATTTTTCCTGTCTCCGGCTGTACACAAAGTAGAGTCACTCTGTTTGTGTCTTCACACATGTGCTCAGGGTAATGATGTCCATCTCATTCCACTGTCTTTCCTCCCCCATGTCCCCTCCCCAATCCCCCTTTCCCCTTTGCCCTGTCTAGAGTTCATTTCACCCTCTCCCCTGCCTCCAGCATATTATGGATCAACATCCTTAAATCAGAGAAGTCATTTAGCATTTGTTTTTTGGGGATTGGCTAACGTCACTGAGCATTATCTTCTCCAACTCCATCCATTTACCTGCAAATGCCATGATTTTATTCTCTTTTATTGCTGAGTAATATTCCATTGTGTATAAATGCCACATTTTCTTTATCCATTCATCCACTGAGGGGCATCTAGGTTGGCTCCACAGTTTAGCTATTGTGAACTGTGCTGCTATAAACATCGATGTGGCTGTGTCCCTGTAGGGATAGCTGGGTCAAATGGAGGTTCCATTCCCAGATTTCCAAGGAGTCTCCATACTGCTTTCCATGTTGGCTGCACCAGCTTGCAGTCCCACCAGCAGTGTGTGATTGTGCCTTTTCCCCACATCCTCACCTACACTTATTGCTGTTTGTCTCCATAATAGCTGCCATTCTGACTGGAGTGAGATGGAATCTTAGAGAAGCTTTGATTTGCATTTCTCTGATTGCTAGAGATGATGAGCATTTTTTTTCATATGATTCCTTTATCTCAGGAGCATTGTCTATTTATAGCATTATTATTACCCCAAACAGAAACCCTGAATTTTTGTGTGTGAGGTCCTGGGGATTGAACCCAGGCCTTGCGTATACTAGGCAGGCACTACTACACCACTGAGCTACACCCCCAGCCCTTTTTAATTTTTATTTTAAGACAGGGTCTTGCTAAATTGTTGAGGTTGACCTGAAATTCGTGACCAGACTAACCCTGTAATCCTGAAGCCGTAACTCGCCACTCTTCCTCCCACAGTCTCAGATTACCTCTAATCTCTAAAAACTGACTCCGCTAGGTGCCTAATAAAGGCAGACTCATTCGTTGTTTGTCTTTTTGCTCGTTTCCTTAACAAGTCTCTCCAAGGTTTGTTGGTTTTGAAGCTCGGGTGGGAACTCCACTCCTTTTCACAGCTGAGTAGTATTCCGTGGTGTGTAGAAACCATCATCTGTCGGCCGACACCTGGCTTATTTCCACCTCTGGGCTGCTGGGCGCGCTGCTGCTGTGACTGTGCCCACAAATACCTGCGGCGTCCTTCTTGCGATCCCTGTGGCCGTCCCCACGTGTGGTGGACAGGAGGACCACGGGGCAATTCTGTGCCCGGCTCTTCAAGGCACTAAACCCCTTCCTGGCCAGGGCTTGTTTTTTATTGAGGTGAATCTCACGTGACGTGAAGTCAACCCCTTCAAAGGGCACCACTCGGGGCACTGGGCCCTCTCCCTGCCCTGCGGTCACCTCTGTGTCCCATTCCTCTCCGTCCTCCCAGGGCCCCGCCTGCCCCCTGAGCTGTCACCCGCACTCCCCTGCTACCCCTGACCTCAGGGACGTTGCTGCTGGCATCTGCTTCCTGGTGTCCTCGTCACAGTAATCCTGTGACGCACTCTGCAGTGTGTGTGGACGCCCAGGGGCCAGCAGCTCAGGATGGAGGAGCGGGCCTTGGGGGGGACACCCACTCGGCCCCACTCTGCCCTGCGCCGGGGGTGGCTCCCCGGGCAGGGGGGGCCTCGGGACCGAGGATGATGTCCCCGCGGGAACCGCTCAGGCGGGGTGCTGAGGAAGGTTCCGGGAGCCTCCTGGCCTTGGTGCCTCTGTGCCTACCGCCCTGGACCAAGAGGGTTGGGGTCTTGGCGCTCCGCCTGCTGGCCACCTTTGTCCAGGTGAGCTGTCCAGCAGCGTGGCCACCTGGTGCTCCGAGAAGGGTGGGGGGCGCCAGCTGCACAGGGAGGGGGTCCAGTGGCTGCCGAGGGCGCCCCCCACACTCGGGGAAGCTCCCGCAGTCCTAATGTTAGAGCCGCTCCCACCAACACACCCGTCCTTGTCATTCGGAATAACGGAGGACTCTCCACACCTCTGCCACGCTCTTGGGCGAGCCGCGCCTGAGCTGGGGACAGACGGAGATGTCTGGAGAGGTTTTGGTCGTCACAGCTGGGTGGTGGGACCCCTGGCCTCCAGTGACAGAGGCCGGGAGGCTGCTGAGCGCCCTGCGACAAAGCCCCAGCAGCTGTGCGAGGCGGGGCCCGGCTGGGACAGGGCTTGGTGCCTGGGAGGAGGGAGGTGCCACCTCCCAGGAGGCCAGAGCCCGCGAGGGCCGTGTCTCTCTCATGGTGGACGTCGCAGAACTGGCACGTGGAACCGGGGTCACCGTGGGGTCGGAGGAGGTGGGTGGCGGGGACCAAGAACTCGAGGTAGAGCACCCGGTCAGTGTCCCACACGGGGGACGGGGACGCGGCTCGCAGCCCAGCACGTCCTAGGACGGGCTTGATGGGGGGGGGGCTCGAGGTCTCCAGGCCCAAGGAGAAGCCGTCCCCTGGCCAAACCAGCAAGTCACAGGCACACACAGGGAGAGGACTCAGCCGTGGAGATGGGCGTGTGCATGGTTTAGAGGTGCTCTAGGGACGTGTGGCCACCACACGTGGTGTACGTACATCAGATGGCCACACTGCACCCAACTGACTCTGCACAATTAAAGTCCTACAAGTATACGGTGGGACTCGGCAAGGGCTGGGGCCGGGACCTCACGGAGAGGACGGGGAGAGGGAGCACATGGACACTGTGGGGGACTGCGAATCAGCACAGCCACCGTGAAGTCGCACCAGGCTCCTCAAGGCACCAGGCGTGGGAGCCGCCTGTGACCCAGCGAGACCACTCCTCGAATTTACCCTCAAGAGGGAAAATCCTCACACTGAGAGAGAGACTCGCACCCAGGTGTACAGCCGCACAACCCCATCAGGGGAGGGAGGAGGGGAGGAGGGGAGGGAGGAGGGGAGGGGGGGGGGGGGGAGGGGGGGGGGGAGGGGGGAGGGGAGGGAGGAGGAGGGGAGCAGGGGAGGAGGGGAGGAGGCCTTGGAAAGCTCCCGGCTCTGGGGAGGAGCCTTCACAGTGGCCTGAGTGCCCTGTGGCTTCTAGAAGGAACAGACACTTGCAAGCGCTCTGCTGCAAGAGGACGTGGAGTTGGCCAGCCTGCCCTTGGGGTGCAGCCGGTGGGGTTCCTCTCACTGCAGAAGGGCAGAAGGAAGAGCTCCCCTCAGCACCATACCAGCCCCAGGCACAGGGACACAGCCCCGTGCTCAGTCACTCCCTCAAGTCCCCCCCCCCCCCCCCCATGGTGACCACGTACCACATGGGTTTGGAGGGACCTTAGATATTAAGACCCATACGTCCTGCCTGTGTCCACTGCTACATCTGGGCCTAGTTCTGTGTGGAGAGAGAGAGCCCCACAGAAGGTGACACTGCAGGGGACCCCTCCAGGCTGCTCGTCACCCATGCTCAGGACAGCAGCCACACCCGGCAGGGCGAGGTGATCCTGGAGCAGCTCACTGCCACATCAGGTGTGCCCATGTCCTCACCCAGGGTGGCATGGCCACCTGACCCATCCACTGAGGGGCAGCCGGGTCCCTTTAAGTTAGCAGGACATTCTGGGTCCTCACACAGGAGCTGAGGGCTGTCACACCCGTGCTCAGCCCAGGAAGGGGCCGTGCTGCCACCTCCTGGTGGACCTGCTCTGTGCATCAGGACCCCCAGGTGGCTGCAGGTCACCCAGCAGCACCCAGCCAGGCCTCCCAGCTGCTCACAGAGGGACGCTCAGCCACAGGGTGGTAACTGTCCTGGGGAGAGGGCGTCCCCAGGGCTGGGCCTGATGCCCTGCCTTCCTGCACCCCAGCTCCCCTCAGCCTCATGCAGGGTCACTCCACGCACAGCTCACTGCACACACGGGGCCCCTGCATGCCCAGGGTCACAGCTCCCATGCCGTCACATGTACACGGGGTCCGCGCACACAGCTGGTGGCACAGGGCACCTGTCACGTGGTCCAGCTGGCCCCTCACCTGCTGGCCTTGCCCTGCCCTTGCTCACTGGGGAGGGGGAAGGAGCTCTCTAGGCCTCCTCCAGCCTCAGCCTCAGCCGTCACAGGCCTCGGCCTGGAGGGTGGGGCTCTGGGTGTCTGTGTCCTCCCTCCCCAGGGCGGCCGAGGCTACCTCTGTGTGGTGGTTTGGAGAGGGATTTCCTGTTGTCCTCCCCACCCAGGGGACAGACCTGTAGTGCTGTTGTCTGGGACAGAGGACGGTTCCCTGTGACAGCTCTGCCTGCCTGTCTCTTTGTAGGTGGGCTTCTACCTTATGGCATTTGACCCACAGGATCCCCACTGCTGTCACCTGTGACCGTGTCCCCAGGCTGATTCCCCAGGCCGTGTCTCCTCCTGCTCACCAGCCAGCAAGCACCTCCTCAGTTTCCTTAGCCAGCCGCACTCGACACTCCCATGCTAAGACTTACTGTCCCCCATTCTCCCCCCACAAGGCTGCTGCTTGGCTCTTGGTGTCCCCTGAGGTTGGACTCACAATTTTATTGAAATGCACCAAATAATTGGGAATCAGTTATCACGACCTCTAAGGGAAGGAAGCGTAGGTGCCCAGAGCTGCAGAGGCCATGCTGGCTGGCACAGCGGGCTCCCCCTCCCTCATGATGGTCCCCCCCTCCCTCATCCCACCCACGGCCTCCCAGCCCGTGATCCAGGAGGCCACCCTGACACCTGAAGGTGACTGAGGGGACATACACCCCGTGGTCATGAGGAAAGGCAGAAATCAGGACACTGTACTTTCACAGGGCGGTTGACCGACACCATCAGGCTGCCTGACTCCCCAGCCCCAGGTGGCAACGCCCAGCAGTGGGGTCTCTGGAGAACCAAGAGTGGCACCTGCAGAAGACATAGGCTCCTGGGGCCCTCAGGGGGTGCCACATATCATATGGACTCATCTTTTGAAATCTGGAATCTTTTTCCTTTGGTTCAGTTAATCAAAATCCATGTTCAGAGAGAGAGAGAATCAATACTGCACAGCAGGAGAGTGGCCTTTAATATTATGAAAATGTATCACAGGAACCTGGTGAGAGAACGAGGGTCCAAATCATGTGGGGGTCCTGGGCTGTGGGTGCACCCAGGGTCCTGGGGTGAGGGGAGGAGGGCCAAGGCAGGCTCTACCCCCACCTCCTGGAGGAGGACCCCACGCCTCAGTCCAGACGTCTCCCTTGGAAGCCACGTCCACCCAGCGTTCAGCCAACCCTCCTGATGCACACCCCACTTCCTCCCCGTCTCCTGGGAGCATCAGGTGTGTTTCCCCAGCTCCGTTTTGCAGGGAGATGCACTGCTCCCTCCATGTTCACCTCCTGCCTGCATCTTGGGTCCCTCTCTGGCTGTGCCGAGTCACAAACAGCAGGATCCCGAGGACCAGCAGGACCAGGCCAGCCAGGCCCATGCGGATGACGTTCTCCACGGTGTAGTCCCCGTGGGGTGAGGCTGCAATGGGGACCAAGGGGTCACGGAGGTCAGTGCAGACCCAGGTCACCCCAGGGACCCTGCAGGTCCACAGATCACCCACTTATCTTGATGGGACTGACCCCTGAGCACAGCCCATAACCCAGTGCCCCTTACTCCCCAGTGCTGGGGTCTGACAGGTTGTGGGAGGGGCTGGTGGCACCAGCTGCTTCTAAGAAACAGGAAAACAGCAGGGGGTTGAAGGGTTCAGAGAGCTGAGCCAGCACCCCTGGGTCTGCTCACTGCCTCCACCGCTCATGGCCACTAGGTGGTCCACCCCAGGGTCACAGACACACATGCAGCTTAAATGTGTATGTTCCCAAATGACATGTGCTCCTACAGAGTGTAGATGTTTAAATATTGGTGTATGAGTCGATTCCTATGTTTGTACATGGAATGAGAACAATGTGACTTAGAGATCCATAAATAAACCTTCCATTTTCCCAGAGTTAATCATGCTTCACTGATAAGTAAGAAGATGAGGTCCAGAAATGAAACCAAGAATCAATAAGTAGAACGGCATCAGATTTTAACCTTCCCATGAAGTGAACAGTGAAGAGCACGAAGAGAGCCTACGGAGTACGGCGAGTCTTGTCAGCTGCTCCTTCAGCTGGGCTTCAGCCTCCAGAGTGTAGGGAGAACCCCAAAGACTTGAACCAGACAGACACGTGGAGGCCCAAATAACGGAGCAGGCGCCTGTGACAGTGAGAAACGCAAAGGGACAGAAGACTATGAATAAAAGGTTGAACGTCTCCAGAAATCATGAAGATCCTATTAAAACTCCACTGAGATTCCCCCTCGCTGCAGACAGAAAGGCCGGTATGAGGAGCGCAGTGATCATCCGTGCTGGGAGGAGGGTAAAGTGCACTCGCACACTGTTGTGGGGCTGAATCAGTACGACCACTTTGTAAAGTCTGTGGAGACGCCTCCAGACTAGAATGGACCCCGTGTGACCAAGTCACGGGATGGAGCAGCCCAGGTGCCCGTCCACAGCTGCATGGACAAAGAAAATGCGCCATCACATACATGAGCTCCCCTCAGCCGTAAGGAAGAAGGAAATTCTGTCATTTGCTGGTGAACGGGTGGGAGGGGAGAAGTCATGTGAATGAACCAGCCTGACTCAGAAAATCAAATCAAAACCTGGTCTCTCCCCCGTGGGAGCTAGAGTTAAAAAGGGGGAGAAGGGGAGACTCATAAACACAGAAGGGAGACCAGTTGCCGTGAGGGAGGGCACTGGTGGAGGGCAGGAGGGACAGGAAGAGGGAGGAGGGGGAAGGAATTGGCCACATCATGCAGGTACTCATGACCTGACCCAGGGGGTGTCACCTTGTGCAGATCCATGAAGAATGACTTACAGAGCTCTGAAGGAACAGGAGGGGGAGCAGGGAGCAGCAGGGGGCGGGGGGAGAGGGAGCCCTGGGCCTGAAGTGCAGCGCGGTACCGTCCACCCCTCACCGTCCACCCCTAGGGCCCTGTCAGAGGGAGCTCCAGCAGACCGCCCAGCCAGGATACACACCACAACACAGAGTGAGCAAGGCCGACCTCACCTGGAGGGGCATCAGGGAGCATCCTAGGAAGTAACAGCAGACGATGTCAACACCCAGGTCAGTCCCTTTTACCTCCTTGTCAACTATTTTAGAAGATGGGAAGGAACAAAGAACCGACTCATGAATCATTAAAGCAGAAACTTTGTTCAGAGTGGCCGCGGATGGACACATTGTACGAGTAAGACGACAAAGAAGGGCTGGATTTTCCACGTTTGAGGCTGAGGCAATACCAACAAGAAGTCGTCGGTGTTGGACCTTAGGTTCTGTGTAGAAAGAGATCGCAGCTGTTCACAAATGAAAAGAAAGAGGAAGGAAGTGGGTGAAACAGAGGCCCTCCAAATCACAAGGGAAGACGGGAGGGTGGGCGAGAGGAGCCGAGGAACATGACCAGAGGTCAGAGCCGGCCTCAGCACCGTGGTGACCTGGAGTTCATGGAAGGGACTCTCCAGTTAAAAACATGGAGGGTCTAGGTGGACCACAGCAAGGCCCGAGTGTGTGCTGCGTACAGGACACTCGCCTCACCTGAGGACACAGGGGGTGACAGCCAGGGCATGACCGTGGTGTCCCCGCAAACAGGAGCCACGGAAAGCAGGGACTGTCACCTCAGGGTTAGAATTCAGACTTCAAGGTAGAAGGGGTGGAAAGGGACAGAATGACCACTGCCACAGCCCAGGGGTCTCTTCCACAAGATGCGGTTGTGAAAACATCTCCCAACTGCAGAGCACCCTTCCCTGTGAAGGAAACATGGCTGGAGCAAGGTGAGACCCTGAGTGGTGAGAAGAGGGGAGTCCAAGCCCTGTCCCACAGTGGACTGGTCATCCGTGCAGAAAGCAGCCAACAAGCAGGGATTTCACGGAACCTCAGCCAGACGGAGGTCTCTGCATTCACAGGATGCTTTACCCTACAGAGTGCACGTTCCTCTCAACTGCGCATGGCTGGTCTCCAGGAAGAGCATGTTGGGCCCCAAGGACAGCCTCAGAGATGGAGGAGACAGAGATCCCAGCACCAGCTGCTGCACACAGTGGGACAACATGAGACCTCAGGTCAGGAGGAACTTGACGTTTTACAAATACAGGAACCAGACAGCAGGCTGCTGAATACCCAGCAGTCAAGGAGGAATTGAAAAAGGGAAATCCAAGTCCTTCGAGAGAAACCCCAAATGGATGCCCAGCCTACGCAGGTGCGCCTTGCATCTCAGGGGCGCTTACAGGACCAGCACCACGGTCAGCCCTCGGCCACGCCATCGGCCACCCACCTCAAGAACCAGAAAAGAGGAGCAACCAAAGCCACAATTAGTAATGGGAGGAAACTGAAATCAGGGAGAGGCAGATGAGTCAGACCACGACAACCTACACACGGGGAAGAGTCAGGGCGTTGGGAAACACACTGGGCCCACCCTAGTAAGCTACGTAGGGAAACAGCAGACACTCAACCCATGCCAATGAGCTGTGAAAAAGGGGACCAGGAGGACCCCCCAGGATGCAAAGCCGAGACGTGCACCTGCAGGATGGGCTCTCTCCCACACACGTGCACCTGCCCAGGCTCAGTCAGGACCAATATGGGAGACGGGGCCGGTCCTTGCTGAGGACACTGATTAGCCATGTGGACGTCCCGTTCAGATAACAGGACGGTCGGGATGGCTTCGCTGCTACCTCCCAGACATGTAGAGAGCAGCTAGAATGGCGTCTCCAGCTATTCCAGAAGAGAGGAGAGCAAACACCTCAGGGGCATTCCACGAGGCCAGCATCACCCTGCTGCAGAGGCCACACAATAAAAGGAGAGTGAGGAGCAGAGGCAGAGCGGACAGTGAGCCCAGGGTCCCCCAGGGAGCAGGTGCAGGACCTTCCCACGTCCCAGGTGGGCAGTGAGATGGGCCGCCAGGTGAGCTCAGCTGGGCCCTGCCAAAGGCCACCCCAGCCTGGGTCTGGTGGCCATAGGAGTGGGTGCTGGGGGTGGACACCCTCAGGTTTTGATTCTGAGATGGAGACTCACTCAGGAGGGGAGGGTGGGGTCTCTCTCCTATCCCCAGTCTCCATCCTGCCCCCTCTGAGGGTCACCAGGTCTCCTTCCATCCCTCCTGCTCCTAGTTCTGCCTGA